GCTAATGTATAATTGATGTATTTGTTGTAACAAATGGGAGGGAAAAGGAGACATTGTAATACTTGTGCTGTTTTAATGTACCTTTTAGGGAGGAGGCAAGATGGCAATTGGAACCTGATAGGAGGGTCGTCGCCTTCCGTGCCAAGGTGTGACTGAGGTTCCCCCTCCCCAAACGTTGTACTTATCCTCCTAATTATGTTTCCTTAATAAACATGTCAAAAGTAAATCAACCGCGTTGTTCTAAGAACACTAAAAAAACAAGGAAGAGGAGACCTGTGAGTCTCGCTCTACACTGGTAGCAGTGCCGGCAGACCTACTTTCCTTCAGAGAAGACACGAATTTCAAAGATTGGCTCTTAACTGCCAATTTCGACCTCCCTCTTTACTCCCATTATCAAAGAATACCCCTCATTCTCCGCTCCCTTCCCTACGATTAATTTTTGACCGTAGCAGGAGCCGGCATCACCCACGACACCGACATTGACCAATGCTGCAATTCACTGGCTCAACTCGTCATTAATCATGGAGACCAAACCCTTGCCAGGGACTTCATTCAGCGTTTTCAAAAAAACTCATGAGACCGACGAAGAGTACGCCAGGAACCTACAACTTCTGGCGGAACGCGCTTCCCGTAGCTATCCCCCAAGCAAGATCGTCAGTTGGGTGACGGTTCAATTTAGACATGGAGTTTGACCTTCCGCCTTGGCTGAGAAGCAAAATAAGACATAGTGGGGTAGCAATATGCTATTCACTGATATACAAATAAACGAAAACACTAGTAATAATGCACCCAAACAACATATGCACACCGAGGAAACCATCTACCATTCACCAAGTATCTAGATAGAGGTCGAAGTGCAAGCTTGACAGATTGTTAGCGTACGAGTAAGTGAGCAAGTTGCTTTAGAATATTTTTTTATAAATGCAAGGCCGTATTCTACCATACTTAAATGACTATTATATAGATGAAAAAATAATGAAAACTAAGACATGGTGGCATGCTAGCATGCTAATTAATGATTTAATAATGAACCAAAACTAATAATAATACAGCGAACTTGCATATGTATACCGAGGGAACTAGCTACTATTTACTGGGTATTTAGAGAGTGGCCGAAGTGATAGCTAGACAGTTTGCTGGTGTACGCGTGTGCAAATGAGTGAGTGAGTTAGTGGTGTTTGTAGGAGCACGGATTTGTTGATTGTTATGTTACAACACCAATGGCATCAGCAATGTGCAACTAATTTGAGGTGAGGATGGATGAGCTTGGCTTGAGTCGAAGGCGAAAACCTCGAGGCTTCTTCCAGGCGAAATGCAGTCAAGTCAGATGCAGTTATCGACACAAGGGATGAGGAGGAAACTGGCAGAGCCAATAGCAGGCGACGATAGCGGTGACGAGCCAATGAGATGTGCAAAGTGATTAGACTTCTGCATAGCCAATAAGAAGTGTGCCTCAGTGTGACGAAAGGTGGCTATAAGAATGGGGCAGTGAGTCACGCGATGCTATCACGCTTGAATCGGTTGTTGGTTTGCTTAGCGAGGAGGGCAATGAGCGGCAGAGGCAAAGGAGGTAAATCGCGGGCTATAGCGAAGACGAGGTCGGCGTGAGCTGGTCTGCAGTTCCCCGTGGGTCGTGTGAACCGTCTGTTGCGTCGTGGCAACTACGCGGAGCGCGTGGGTGGGTGATGGAGCA